AGTTTTAATCTTAACAGCTCTTAACGCCGAATGTGCACTTGGATGGTTAGATACATGATGGGCTAGTATAAAAAATAAAATAACTTAAGGTCTTTCCAGCATTAAGGTAATCCTGCTTTTTTAAAAATAATCTTGTCTCAGTTACAAATTTGACTGGTAAATGATAAAGAATGATAGCCCCTTTTGTATTGCATTGCATTGCATTGCATATGACAGATTGATAAAAAGACATGCTATTTATGACTGGATGTCATATCAGTGCGGCTCCCATGAAAAAAATAGTGAAGACCACTGCTGTAGTGCATGCTTTCATTTCATTACTAAGTAATTATTTTGTTGACTAGATGCTGCATTAGTGGAGAAAGAACAGCAGTATGTTTGCTGTCAAGGCTGAGAGGACGCACACATTAGCAGCACCTCAAGCCATTAAATCAATGTGACCAAAACACACACAAGTCTGACCCAAATGTTTAATGTTACGATTGCTACCGTCTATTTGCATTAGTTTATATCCAGCTATATCCACTTTAATGCGTTTGTTATCCATTGAAGTTGCAGATTTAAAGCTGTGACGTGAGAAAGCATGCTGATATGTTGATTTAGTGACAGAAATCCTGCCGCGCCGCAGAGCGCATTCACACAGTTTTCCGTTAAATTACATTATATTTGTCCCAAATCATTGTTAATGTACATAATGACTTCATATATTTTTACATTTTGAAGTTGCTTCTGTTAACATTAGTTAATGAACTATAACTTTAATGATCAATATATAATTTGCACATTTTATGTACAAAGTATGGTTCAGTACTGTTTCAGTATTTTTTGTTTTTAAATAGTAAAGCACTATTTTAGTTTTCGTTCAGCATCCATTTTAAAAACTATCGGTTGATTAATCGGTATCGGCCAGTGTGGTCCCACCTAGCTATCGGTATCGGTAAAATCCACTATCGGTCGACCTCTAGTTTCTAATAGCTCTTACATATTTGTTATCCAGCCACATATTTGTTTAGAGCTGTTTTGGACTGTTTTGGCTCGTAAACGGTGCTTGATCTGTGCAGATTTCTCTCCTGATTCAGACCAGATGGCTTTTTTTACTGGAGGAAGCATTATTATGGATTATGAGCTCGAAAGCAACGGTTTGTAGTTAAAAACGTCTTAATGATGGATTTGTTTCAGCTTTTGGCTTCACAAGACGTTAATTGATGAACTGGAGTGGTGTGGATTACTTGTGATGTTTTTATCAGCTGTTTTGTTTGAATTACAAAATTGTGATCACCATGCCTGTCATATCTAACATTCATATCTGAATTTTCCATCCACCTTATTCCTGACGAGCCTACTGCGTTTTGAATTATGGGTGGCACTTCCGGTTTAGGGAACTTCCATTCAAAAAGGTTGCCCTATAAATAAAGCTTATCCGTCTCTTTGACTGAATGAGCTGTCGATTTGCCTTCATGTTTTATTTTCAGACATCATGAGAATAACATAACGCTTGGTATTTTAACGTGACATGTTATAACAAGAATATCTATGGCAAGAGCTCTTTTCAGTCGCTGCATTTTTTTCCTCATGATTATTTTCTTTATTCCCTTTGCATTCCGCTGTAATAGTATGAAAAAGGACAACATTCTGTTCTCTCGGTTTAATTTACGATGTATCCCATTAATAATTCTCTGGAATGCACGAAAAATCTCCAATTTTTCTCCTCCTCACGTCTCTTTCCAGGTTTGTTTGTTTTCACAGGTAAATACAATTTATCATCTGTCGAAATGACGGAAATCACTTTGAAATATTATCACGCAATGCTTAACGCAAGTTAATGAAAATTTTTGATTAAGGCAACGTATATATTAGAGTGATATTTCACCCGTCCGTTATTGCTGTGGAAAGAGTAGTGCTTTTGGGGTTATTCATAGTCTGTTGAAAGTACCTTGTTTATGCTTTTACACTTTTAAATGTCATTTTAATGTTCGATGGTTGAAGGGCGAGTAGAATAATGCCATCTCATTCTACCCAGATAAAAAAAAAAAAAAAACTTATTATTGCGTTCATAGGGCGAGCCTTTCACTGATGGTTTACAGCTTAACGGAAGTTACACACATAATTCGCTCAAAGCGTCATGGGGTGTAGGAATAAAGTGGATAGTCAATATAATTGAATGTATTTTTTGGTATTATTCATAGTTCTCTAGTCTTATATTTAGAGCTCTACTCTGAAGTACCGGAGTCTGTTTGTTAAGACTATCTATCCAACCTAGCTAATGGCCTTTTACTATAGGACACAAAGTTATGCTGCCTGTTCTTGCTGCATTGAGCTCTCAGTTTGAGGTAGGGCTGCACGATTAATCGAATGCGATTGTCATGCGCATTTTGATAGTAATGCCGGTTCTGTAATCAGCAGGAAATCATCATCACGTGCTTTCAGATGGAGCAGCATTTACTACAGATAGCCGTAGTTCACTGACAAGTTACGCAAAAAAATCGCAGACGATTTTATTGCACGATTACATTTAAAAATATGGCGCAAAAATAGCAGACGGGCTTATTAAAAAAGCGAATTCATTCTCTGCCAGCAGGTTTCGCTTTCGGAACGGTAGAAATATAGTGGTTTCCCCGGTAACCGCAGTACACAAAGTAGCTGCGCCTGACTTTGAAGCATGCAGCACTCAAGTTTATTCAGTGAAATCACAGCCTTTTGAAGTTTAATCGACATATTAAGTAGGGCTGCATGATTAATCGAATGCGATTGTCATGCGCATTTTGATAGTAATGCCGGTTCTGTAATCAGCAGGAACTCATCATCACGTGCTTTCAGATGGAGCAGAATTTACTACACATAGCCGTAGTTCATTGACAAGTTACGCAAAAAAATAAAAACAAATAAAAAATATTTTATTGCGTGATTATGAAATCGAAGAAATCGTTCGCGATAATGACAGCTGTTTGCATAGCTTCTCAGTGAACTACGGCTCTGTGAAGTAAATGCTGCTCCATCTGAAAGCATGTGAAAATACCACATTTAATAACATATTTTTTACTCCAAACTCACTTCATAACGTCAGTTGAGTGTTTGAAATAAATCCTTCTGTGAGATGATGTGGCTTCTTACACAGAATAAGGCACGCAATATATTTCATAGTATTTAAGCAGTGATAAAGGCATTGCATTATAAATATACTTTATTTTAATGAAAATTATAATAATAAGAACTCAGATAAACCGTATATTGCCGTAGTCGTGTGTTTATTAGTCACGTTGAATCAATGAAAGCAGTTGAATCTTCTGTTTATTCAGCTGCAGCGATAGGCATTTCCTGGGTTTCTTCTGCGAGGCGTATTTGGAGTTTCAGCGCGAGAGCGCCCTCTGGCCTTCGGATGGAGATTTACTGCTGATCACAGAACCGTGCTTCACTGAAAGATACGCATGACAATCGCAGCTTCTGTCGAATCGCGATCTCGATTCCATTTCGATTTATCGTGCAGCCCTAGTCTGAGGTATGATCTGAGGTACAATAGAGCTTGAGGGACATTCACACAAAACAGATTCTTGTATTCCACCTGTGATATTTTTACCATTCTTGTAGATGGACATATTTTTACGTCCATCTTAACGCTTTTCATTGTCTCGCACCATGAGCACTGTGTTTTTAGGACTGTGTTAAGTTAAATCAAGACCCCTGCTTTCTGTTCTATTCTTTGTCACTCCTTTGAGCTGTGAATGCAAGAGCGCCTCCTGTGTGAATGGCTCGTGACTCATTCTGCGCCTGTTGTGTGACTCATGAAAAACCATGAAGGTGCTACTTCAAGCTTGAATTGGGCTGATCATATCCATGGCTCTGATGGAAAATTCCTAATTACTTTTGGGTCATGATTACTTGCTCTTTTTTCATGTTTTTTTTTTAGCGGCTAATGAATATGAAGTTGACAAAAAGCAGCTTTCTTCTGCATTACAAAATAAGAAGGACAGCATCTACAATCAGCTTTTTTATATATAATGCCTACGTAAATAAATCTACAAAATGTTGAGTATGTTGGACGCTTCTTAAATGTGTTTCATTTCTTAGCCGTGCAAATATAACCAGAGTCCCTTTTCTTTCATCGTGTCTGTCTTGTAATGTAGGCATGTAATTGCTGCATTCAGCGAACAGATCCAGTCCAGTAATGGTTGAGTGGAAATGACCCCAGAGGAGTTTACCTCTTTATTGGGTGTAACTGAATTAAGTTCTTGCGTAATTGAAATGTAATGATCTTATCTGTAAAACTGTGATCAGATGACAAAAGTTCAAACAGGCAAATTGGTAAATATATCTGCCATCTTCCAAAAATTTCCAACATTTATTTTGCTCTTATACATATGATCCGTTTAAATATATATCCAGCTCTCCTCATTCAAAAGATCGGTTCACTGCATTTATTGGTCAAGGTTCATAGAAATTCATTGGTCAAAAGGTGTGGAACCTGTTTAGCAAACTTGAAGATCTAAGAGGTGCTGTATTCTGATGTTTTCTTGTTGTTTTTTTCTATTATAAGCATGCCTTCTGTTCACTTTCAGGAGCATCTCTATTCTCCAACATACCTGGACATCGTCTCGGCTGCTACTTCTGTAATGACGTGGTCGCCCCTGGGGACGTGAGTTTTAATCAAGTTTTTTTTAATCACTTTCCTAGCTGAAATTAGGTTTTTCTCAGGACACGTATTATATCAGAATATCAAATGTGCAGCTGAAACCAATCAGTCATATGCTAAAGTGACGCTTTTATCTGGAAATCATATCCTACAGCAAAATACGATTGAAGACAGGTCCAAAATAAAACACTTTTACAGACTGAATAATGAATATGTTGGTTTCCATGATTTCAGTTGTTACTCGACCTGTTAGTAAACTCTTATTCCGTCATTAGTCTACCAGAGACAGAACTCTAGACCAGCAGTGCACTGTGAGCCGTCCCGGTCTGGCCATGATCGCTGGAGCCCTGGCCGTGGAGCTGATGGTCTCTGTACTCCAGCACCTAGAGGGGTGAGTGCCTCAACTTCACACAAATAAACATTACACATCTGCTACTGTAAACCATGCTTTCTTCCATCCATATAGTATCCCAGAGCAGGACTCATGCATTGTAGAAAATGATGAGGAATGCGAGGCTGAGGCAGTATTGAAATGTACTGTAGGAACTGAACAGCTTGCCACTTTCCTATGCCATTTTTTTGTACAAATAGTGTGAGCATTGTGTTCACACAGGGAATTTCAACAAGAAGAAGTGCACTCCAAATACCCAGGTGATGCACTTAATTAACTGAAGAAAAAAAAAAAAAATATATATATATAAATATAAAACAAAGTGTGCAACGTTGGACACTTCATTCATGCACTCAACTGTTGCAGCTTTCCTTGTGTAGGGAAGAGGCTAGGGCCTAAAATTAACACTCATCAAGTGCCAAATGTGAGTAAAAATCAGCTTCGGCGAGTATATAAAACGTGCTAGTTAAACTTTTTTTAATGACTTCTAACGATGACTGAAAATGTTATGTAAATATATAATCTGTATAATCTGAGTGTTTCAGAGTGAGTTTTCATGTGAACCGCTCATCCCTGCCGTTCGCAGTAAATGCTGCTCTGTATGCAAGTGCTGTGAGTTTGAATCGCTAATAACATGCATTTGAAAATGCAATATGCGCCATATATCTTCAGAAGTTTAGAATGAGAAGATGGTCTATAAATCTGTTGTCAACAAAATGTTTGAAAGCAAAGAAAAAAACAACCATAAATATTAGTATTTTAATTGTATTGATGATAATAATAATAATTATTATATACTTTACAGTCCAGCAGTACTTTTTTCTATTGTTCTATTTTTTTATTAAAAATAGTAATAATTTGGTAGCACTTTACTCAAAGCATTTATATATAATGCATTATAAAAAAAATAGTTCTAATGCATTAATTATGCTTTGTGATGCTCCTTATAATGCATTGTATGATCTCATTAATAATTGTAACCAAAATTATAATACTTATGTATTCATTGTTATACCTTTAAAAAGTATAATGCAATTAAAATATAAAAACAAACCCTCATATAACCCTCAAAAAATAAATAAATAAATAAAATAATAAGCCGATAAACAAACCCTCAAATATTATAATGCATTTTAACTTTGCTTACATTTATTGATGAAATGATATAATGCATTACAATGTGCATTATTAATAGCTTTATAATGCATTATACATGTGGCTGATAAATCTTCTCAAGTCACCAGCCATTGGCAGGTGTGGCAAAATGTTAGTTTTAGACCCTGGAAGTAATCTTCTAAAATTCATACATTAGATGGTTTGCATGATAGGACTAGGTGTTATGATCCCAATATTCAGCACCGTTTATCCACACCATAGAACATTTTCCCTTCGCTGTGAGCAGAACACAGCGAGACGCAGCAATTGTTACGCTCTGATTTTGGTTCAGCAAGAATCCAGGATCATGGCCTAATCCATGTCCGTGGTTCTTGCCTCAATACCCAATAATCAGTCGTGAATTTACAAATGCTTTATGCGTGACTGGGGAACAATAAGAAAAAGAACTAGTATGGTAAGATGGATAGATGAAGACGGTACAATTCTTCGCTGCAGTCATCGGGTGGGGATCCTTGACGTTTTAATGGTATGTTATGCTGTACATGATGTGTACTTATCTTTCATGGATGTTGCCAGTGAGACACCTTATCTGATTACACTGTGTCCATCCGCTTCTTTCAGCGACAGTGGCCGGTTCCCTGACTATCCTCCACTGGACCTGTCCTCTGATGCCCAACTCCTTTAGCAGCCTTATAGTGGAACTAGCCACAAAGCCCCTGCAACCCACTTCCACTGTCCAGCCCCACTCCTCTGCCTCAGCTGCCAAGTTGGCATATCACAGATTCTTCCTTTCAAAGGCCTCGTCAATGGCCTCTTCCCAAGGGACTGTCAGTTCGACTATTATGATGATCCTACTGGAGTTGGACCAGAGAACTAGGTCTGGGCACAGATTGGTGACTGCAATTTCAAATGGGAAAGTGAGTCTGTGGATTAAGTCGACTGGCATTTCCCAGTCCCTGGCTATATTCAGCTGGCCTGCGTCAGGGGACAGGCACTTAGCCCGCTTTTTCTCCCCTTCCCTAACAAAGGACTGCCTTTTTGGTAAGGTATTCTTGGCATTTTGTGGGATGGCGTTTGTTGACACTCTCTTGGTCTCTATTGCTGCCGCCAAGCACTTCAGTACTTGATTGTGGCACCATGTGTACCTTCCCTGTGTCAGGCTGGTCTTACAACCCACCAGGATATGCCTGAGGTTTGCCGGGGCTGCACACAGCTGGCAGGCTGGGTCTTGTCCACACCATACCTGACTTTTAGAGTTCTTTACAGCTGATACAGTTTTAGACAGCGTTTAACAAGAATTTGCCACAGAGGAACTCAAAACACACTCCTTGATAGAAAATACAAAAAGGAAATCCAAACAGAAAAGCTGTCCATAAATATCAGGCCAGAGAGAAATCCAAGATACAAGAGTCCACAAAAAAAAGGAAAAGCTACAATCCAAAAAGACTCAACAGAAGGCAGAACATTATAGAAATGTGTATTTTTTGTGTTATAATACTTACTTCTATACCAATTTAATATGCCAAAACAACTATAAATATAATGTGTGGCTTGATTCCTTTGAAAAGTCTAACACTGTTACACTGTGGTGCTTTCATAACATTGATCTGCTTTATCGATTAGCAGCATTGCACAGCAACACTCAACAAACAGCGTGAGTTCAGGGCAGGGCTGGCTGGCTGTTTCACTGACCAATAGCAAATGTGCTAAATGTCAAAAACAGTTAAAGGGGTCATATGATGCGATTTCATTTTTTCCTTTCTTTTTGGAGTGTTACAAGCTCTTGGTGCATAAAGAAGATCTGTAAATTTGCAAAGACTAAAGTCTCAAATCCAAAGAGATATTCTTTATAAAAGTTAAGAGTCAGCCACACCCCCCTAAAACGGCTCGTTCGAACACGCCTTCATTTTGGTGACACTAGTGAAGCAGAAATGTCACACTTCACACCATGTTAGTTCCATCTTGGTTTCATTCTAACCCTATGTTTAAGTCACTCTGAAACGAAACAGCAGTGATAGCAATTGCATTGTAATGTCATATCTGGAGTGCAGAAAGCCTGTATGTTGCTTTTTATGTATTTCCAGTTGGATGAGAGGGTATAGAAAGCTTTCATCCATGTTTTGCATTCAAGGAAGTCTTTAGAAAGCAAGGGCAACTCAGTGCCCTAGATAGCGCTGACATCTTCCAGACGGTTTCTCTTCAGATGCATTAAGCTGTTACAGAGCGCTGATCGAGCCTCTGCTGGGCCTGGATGAAAGCTTTCAGATATGCTGCAACACAGGACAGCACCCTTGTATGATAAGAGGTCCACAACTGTAGGGAGTTTTCATCTGTCAAACTGTTATGGGAGAACGCTTTTGAATTCAGAAACCACATTAACGGCAGATTCGGTGATGCATGAGTTCAGACTGATTAATTCTTTGATGAATAATTTTTTGGATTTTGAAATATTTTTCCCATCTTTGTTTAAAGAGTGAGGTAGATTATGGGTAAGCCATTAGTCTGAGTTTCTGAAGAGTGTAACACTGTGGGGTGAATTTCTGGGAAGAGGACACTCTTGGCGCATCAGAATCGTTATGCCTTCCCGACAATATGCCTGCTTTTGGGAATATGACAAGACAGGATACTGTTGGTAGCTCAGTTTCGGCCATCCCAAGTTTGGTTTTCAGACCAGGCCAAACCCAAAGATCTCTGCTGGAGGAGCCTCCTTGGCAGATTCCCGTCAGGATCCTGTCTGGATCAAAACACAGGTGAAGAAGAAGCATGAACAAGCGATCACATATGTAAGCAGATGCATATGTAAAATAACGCAATCATCAAATGCACGATTCTTTAAACGCAAGACAAATGCACGAGAGAACAGGATAATGCGGAGACTCTCAATGGGGAATCGGTTCAACACTGCAGCTGGAATTGCTCACCAGTTCAGCAATGAACAAGGCATAGATCTGTCTTGGCACGTTTAAGAGAAGTCAGACTGAAAGCACACTCTGCAGTGACCAAGCCACTCATTAGCAGAAATAATCAAAAGGCTAGACTCACCTTTGCTGAGGAGCATGTTGTGTGGAGAGAGGAGAAGTGGTCCAAAGTTCACTTCAGTGATGAGAGCAAGTTTAATTTCTTTGGGTCCTCAGGGTCCTGATCTAAAACCCAATTAAAAATCTCTGGAAAATCCTTGGCGACAAAGTTATGGCTAAGAAACCCACTACAGTTACCGAGCTATGGATGAGACTGAAAGAAGAGTGGACCAAGATCATACCAGCGCAGTGTGAGAAACTAGTGTTGTCCTGCGGCCGCAGATGTGCTGAAGTCATTCAAAGCAAGGGCCTCTACACTTCCTACTCATTTCTGACAGCTGTAACCCTCCAAAATTGTAGTTGTAATCTTCTTTCGTGTTCCAGTGGTTACTGTTCTCTAATTTTGATCGCTGTGTTTTCCCACAAAATAAAGGTTTTCTTTTAAATGCTTTGGTTATTTTGTCAAACGTGTTAGTAGGACAGTGGTACACCCACGGCTAAAATATTCCTACAAATTTTGAGCGATGAAGATTAACAATATTTCAGAAAAAAATCAAGTATTTATAGATTGTTCTCTAATTTTGATCTCCACTGTAAATCAAGAGTGCCTAACATTACCGAATGAAATGTCGATCTAGTAAGTGGTTTAGGACTGCGACGCTTTGGCTGTTTTGATGGAAGCGATCGACTCCATCTGTGTTTTGATCATCGATCTGAATCCCATCCAGACGTAGTCTTTATCAAAATTTTAAAAAAAGCAATTTTCTCAGTTTTTTGTTCAAAATGTTGCTTTTTCCATGAAACTTACCCATATTCAAGCATTGATAAAAAAGATTGCATGAAGCTAGAATATATATATATATGTATATATATATATATATATACACACACTACTGCTCAAAAGTTTGAGATCAGTAAGACTTGTAATGTTTTTTAAAGAAGTTTCTTCTGCTCATCAAGGCTGCATTTATTTGATCAAAAATACAGAAAAAAACAGAAATCTTGCAAAATGTTATTACAATATAAAATAATGGTTTCTATTTTAATACACTTTAAAATGTAATTTATTTCTGTGATACGCAGCTGAATTTTCAGCATCATTACTCCAGTATAAAGTGTCACATGATCTTCAGAAATCATTCTAATATGCTGATTTATTATCAGTGCTGAAACTGTTGTGCTGCTTTAAATTTTTTTGGAACCTGTCATACTTTTTCAGGAATCTTTGATGAATAAAAAGTTAAAAAGAAGAGCATTTATTTAAAATATAAATCTTCTCTAACTCCCGCCCCTGACACTGATTGACAGCTTTCCGTGTAAGGCATCGGGAATTCAAATGCTAAAGGAACTGCGATTCCATGTGAGTTTTGGCAGGTTACATGCGCGACGCAGAGAGAGTGAAAAAGCAGACGTGGTAATTAATATTGCTATTTAAATATGACAGGCTCATAACTCGTAAGACATGGGAAATGCAGTTGCAAACAAACTTTGCTTTTCCATTTGAAATTTGGCACTCACTAAGCGTTCGCGAAAGCAAAAACGCAAACGGTAATGCAAGATTTGTAAGTTTGGATTATGTCACAATGTATGCGTCCATATATGGAAAACGCAACTGAAAATACAATTTGCAATTCCTTTTGAAAATATCCTTCCATACATTTGTTTCTGATAAGGTATTGAGCTTAATCTAGCTTTAACTGGTTAAGAAAAGCTGCTTTGATTAGCTATAAGAAGACAGCACAATAATGCACACTTTTGATCTAGCTTAGCCTAGTGCTAACTCTTTTGATTGGCTAGCACAAGATATTACAATTTATACAACAGTTCGTTCTGGTTCTCAAATCTGATTGGTTGAGAACCGTGAGATATTGTACTGGTATCGCTACAGGAACGCCCTTTCACAATTTTGTATCACTCCGCTTGTTCTAGCCGGGTCTATGTTTTTTTTTTATTATTCACTGAGCTAATCGTAGAGTATGTTAGTTAATATAAGAAGAAACGTCTAGCTTCGCGGTCTCTCTCTCTCTCATTTGGATGCACGTCTTGCCGCATTGTTTCTTTGTTATAACCTCATTATTTCTCACTAATAACCTAACTGAAGCAGCACATGCCCTTGATGCGAATTCTAAAAGTGACGTATGTTTAACTGTCACCTTGAGCTTTGAATCCGTGGCGGAAGGAAGTAGTTCCGCACAAAAGAGGGTTTTATTAGGCACTCCGTTGTTTCTTGTTTAATTACACACGTTCCGTCGAACTGTTGTATAAACGCAATATCACTATTGCTCATATATGGCTGCTGTGTGTCATGACAAACCGGCCCCCGGCCTTCACTCGTGCCCCCTCAGAAAAAAAACAGTGCATGACGCTCCTGTCTTCCAGTATGGATTTTACTCCTAGTTTAGTGAAGGCCTTGTTGAAACCAAGGCTAAGTTATCTACCCAAGATTACTTCAGCATCATTTCGCTCCCAAGGCTTACGTTGACTGTTAGAGCCATTGGCGTAAATCTGATTGGTTGTTTGTTTGTTCTGGTGGCTGTAGCAATGGCGGTGCTGCCACTAAACACAGGCTGTTGCATTTGGTGAGAAATGCTCTATCTTGGGTTATCTTGGCCTCTGGGCATTCATGCTCGCTCTGCGAGGGGTGTTGCTTCTTCCCAAGCTTTTTCTAGAGGAGCGTTTGGAGAATTTTTGTGTGCCAATCGCACATACACACACACACACTGTAACTAAGCATTTGATGTATTGAAGTGCTTCTTGCCTTTAACACATAGGAAGCATTAGTAATTCACCAAACATAGCAAAATACTCTGTACTTTCCTCTTTGACTGGCTGCCATTTGAATCACAGTCATGGCCTCAGGATTTGTGACTAAATCCAGCAGCAGCTAACACACACACACACACACACACACACACTGTAACTAAGCATAAACCTGCTCTTTAAGGGACTGACTGAAGTCTAATTTGAATCTGTTGTAGTGTTCTTCTCTTGATGTGTGATGTGTTTTTCTGTCAGAGGTTATGCTGTGGCCAGCAGCAGTGATGACCGGATGAATGAACCCCCAACCTCGCTGGGTCTCGTCCCCCATCAGGTCAGTTATGAGCTCCTGTCCAGTGTCTAATATACATTTATTTTGTCATTTTAAGAATGTACTTTATTATTATGTAAATACTCTGCTGAACAGATGGGCATTGCAGATTGTTGTGTTTTGTTCTTTGTGGAGATGTAATCATGCTCAGCATGAGATGAACTGGCATTGAAATTCATGCTGGTCTAAGCTGACTTCTAAAGAAGGTTTTTGTCGCTTCAGTCATTTACTTGTCTGCCAGTAATGTTAATGTCTTTGAATTATCTAGATATTGATTAGCAAGTATCAGTGTATGCAATTAATTACGATTAGTTCACTGGATTAAACGCTGTAGTCGATTGACATGCCAATGACCAGTAAAGGCTGGAATACAGTACATGACTTTTTCCCTGATTTTTACCCTGATTTACAGTCTGGACAAGTTTATGTTAATTGCTGAAAGTGCAGTTAGCTTCAGACTAAGATACAATCCAGTTGGAGGATATCAAACATGTTTTCAAATCATTTAGTTATCATTTGTCATGGGTCTTCTAGCAACAAGGCACATGTTTCTGCTTGAGTTTATTGTGTTCAGAGCGACTTGAAAGTCTGTTGCCCAGTTTTTGCTCTCTAACTATTTACATGGCAAGTGTATGATTCCTAGGAATCATGTAGTGCATTCCAGCCTTAATTTGTCCGCTTTAAAAACACAACAAATATGATGCAAAACATGACAGCCAATTGTAATTTATTAGATATCTAATATAAAGTTATGTGAATATTGATTGTGGACCAATGAGATTTCACTGTGCAAAGACAAAGCAATTGAAATCAAACGATCAACAAAACGTGTTGCATCTTGTCATGCCTGTGGCCGGTTAGGAGAAAATCTCAGATTTATATAAAAGAGAGCTTTCATAATTTTTTGCTTTATCGCATCTCTAGTTTTCCTTTGTATTCTAAATATGTTCCTTCCCATAGCTCTGTCACTCTTTACCCGACTCATCAGCACTCATTGTTTGCACCTGTGTCTGGTTAGCCCTGTCTGCTCCGCTTATATATAGCCTGGTTCATTCAGTCATTCATTGTGAAGTCTTGCATGTGTTATGTACTGCATTTCTGAGTCTTGGTTTATTCTGCCCATTGTTCTGGATTACTCTTTGTCTGTGTTTCTTGTTGTTGTTTGGACGGTTTTGCTGGTAAATGATTTTTGCCTGTGTTTGGATCACGATTGTGGATTATCCTCTGAATAAACACTGTGTTCGGATCCTCAGCCTTTGTGTTCATGACACAAACAGGAGTTCCAATCTGAAACTATATATGTATTTGTCAGTATATGAACAGAAGCTAAATAGAATCATAGAGAAGATGGCTAGTTTTTTCAGTCATTGCTGGGAGGTGAATCTCATAAACCTGACATTTGACCTTGTGATCCAATTGATGATTCTGAAATGGCCAGCGCTTTTGAAAAGTTGTGATGCATTTTAAGCAATGTTATGTGATAATAGAAAGAAAAAAAAACAGCTAAAGCTTTATGGGACGTGGGGTCGTTCACTATGGTCTCCTGTGTTATTAGATAGCCACTGAAATGACAAAAAACCTGCAAAAATCCATGGAAGTCATTTGATAGCTTATCTGCTCCTCTTTCTCCATGTCAGATCTCATTAACCTTCACATATAATGCGTCACTCCGAGTGTTTTATAGTGACTATTTTTAGTCCTTTTTGAAACTCGACAGTGTCTGTCCCTGTACTTTCATTTATTGGAAAAGAACAGCCAGGAACTTAAACAAAACTTCATTTAGTGTTCCATGAAAGAAACCTGAAAGATTGTGTTGACTGAGCTATTCGTTTACATTCCTGTAGCTCGAACTGTAGAGGATAGCGCTAGCAAGGTCATGGGTTCAATTCCCAGAGAATGCATCTGATAAATGCATGTAATGTGATGTTAAATGCGGTGTTATTTAGCGACTTGGCCCGTCCAGTGATCGACAGTGTGAATTACGCATACGCAGAGGTTAGCCAATCATATCAGAGGTCATTTAAGTACTAAAGTCTTAACGGTCAGAGAATTCAATTTTTTTGGTGATCTATCCCTTTAAGAGATTAGCATTTGCATGACCTCTGATATGGGCCAAGTTACTAAATTGTTGTTGATGTAAATGTGGGTGGCCGTAATAATGAGCTCATGGTTTTGATGTCACAAGCATGGAGATTTTTGAGCATGATGCCATTTAGTTGAAATAATCGGTCTGGATGGATAGGGCAAGAAGATGTGAAGTGTGAAATTTAAAGCTTGTGTGACTTTAATGCATTATGTATTCATAAACCTGGCAAACAGAACACATGCAGCGACTGGATCATTATGATCCCTGACCTCATAAATTGTTTTGCCGGGATGAACATTAGGGCTTGTGTGGAAGTGATTCTGATTCAACATAACAGTTCCAATTCCCCCTGTTTAATTAATCCTAATAGCTTGTAATGAGTCTTTTATATCAATTCTTTAAAAAAAAAACGGACTCAAACGAGTCTTTTTTTTTTTAGTCAGGCTTCGCTGGGCACCTTCAGTTCATCACGTTGAGTTCAGACTGCGTGCTCACAGCTCAGCAGAATCATTTGTTTTGCCGGGATGCTGTGAAACACAGTCTCAGTGCGGTTCTCTGTCCAAATCAGTGAAAGAACACAGATGTCCAAAACCCGCGAACAGAACTGAATGTCATCATTTTGTTTCCAGTATTGGAATTGGTTCCGAATAAGAACCGTTTTAATTTAAAACTGTACTGTACTGTTTTTCATATGCACTGAACGAAAAAAAAAAGGTTTTCAAAGTTGTAAATAAAACAAATATTATTGGAGTACATTTTACAAAAAAATATGGTAACACTTTCTATGAAGCCCGTATTTATAACGCATTATAAGAGCAAGGCATTATAATGAATGCATTATAAAAAAATATTAAAAAACTTATAATACGTTGTTTCATCTCATAAATAATCATAACAACAATTATAATACATTATAAAACTTACTTATTTGTGGTTATAACTAGGGATGCACCGATACCACTTTTTCCAAGTACTCGCCCGATACCGATACTTTTATTTTTGGTACTTGCCGATACCGATATTTTTATTATTGTTATTATTATTATTTATAAGTGGTCTTTGTCTGCTTTAAGTAAAGTAACAAGGTAACAACTGCAAGATATGAGATTTATAATATATTATAACTATGGGAAATATAATCCATTGTAAGTGGATGCATTGTGTTCATTGTGTATTATAAATCATCATTAAACTCTTAAAAGCTATAACCACAAATAAGTAAACATTATAACGCATTACAACTGTTGTTATGATTACTCATGAGATGATACAACATATTATAAGGTTTTTATAATACATTATTCATTCATTATATTGCCTTAAGAATACTCTTATAATGTATTATAAATACGGGCTTCATAGAAAGTGTTACCAAAAAGACCATTTGAGTCTTTCTACTAAAAATCTCAATGTGCTGGGGGGTTTTTTGTTGCGTTTATTTGTGAAATTTATGTCTGTTTTTGAGTGAAAAATGTTTCAAAGTAAATCCTACCTCTTTTTTTTTTTTTCAGTGTATGATTCCTTTTAAAGGACACCATGTAAAAACACCAGCATATATTCTGCTGTGCTTGCGCGCTCTTATATGAATGATACATATTATGTGTAGTTGTTTATATTACTATTTGTTGCTTCCAATCTCACTATAATTCATAAAAGTGGCACAGCAGGACCCCCTGCCTGTGTGCTGAAGCTTAGCACAGCCCACACACTGTCACGTAGGGGGCTAATGACGCAGCTACAGATGTCAAAGAGCTGCTCTCTGGGTTATTAGCTCCACCAGCATGCAGCATTCATATGCCCCTTCTGAAATAATGCTCCCCTCCTCAAGAACCCATAACTGCAAATATGTGACTCCTTACACATAATGCGATTAATCAGAAAAGCTCTCTTGACTGTGTCTAATCTGAACACAATGCCAGATGTTGGCGAACAGGACACATGCGACTGGGTCATTATAATCCCTGACCTTTTAAAGTGTTCTTGACGGGATTTAGTGCTCTGACCTTTTTGCATTAACGTTGCATTGAGCTGAACATGACAGCATGGCACACAGTGATGATGGGTGATTCGTTTCTCTTTAGCTCACACTGCACCCTGCTGGATGTGTGAGGAACTGCAGCGTATCTGCTCTGAGGGTTTGAAGGTTTATCTGTGCTGTTTTTCTAAACCAGTGCTCTGTGATTGTCTAGTGAGTAATATTATCATAGTGCGCATGAGAATAGTGCCTGTCAGAGCTGTGGTGTGATGAAGCAGCATCTCTTCCCTGTTCATCAGCCATAACAAGCAACATGCATTTTATTGATCATTTGGTTTATATTCCTGTCATGTTGTGCCGCTCCACTAACTGTTAAAAAACTGTGAAAAAAAATCTTGCTCCACATATATGTACACTATTGAAAAGTTTGAGCTCATTTTTTTAAAGAAATTAATACTTTTATTCAGCAGCGATGCATTAAATTGATCAAAAGTAACATCTGTAATGTTACAAAAATGTCTTCAGATGTTTAATCACTGAACACACCATTTCACAAAATATTATTTAAAAAATAACATCTAGTGCGAACTATTTTCTCATTTTTCTACATTTACAATAAAAGATAAAAATCTTATAATGAAACCTCTGGAAAACAATAAATTGCCTTTGCATATGCGCTATTGTCATAAAAATTGTCACAATATAACCCAAAAAATCTTAATGATCCTAAACAGACTTCATTTGCACAATGCAAAACATAATTTCTTACAATTTGTTGGCATAATTACATTTTTAAGCTTAAATTTGTGTGTGTGTGCGTGTTTGTGTGTATGTGTGTCTGTGTGTGTGTGTGTCTGTGCGTGTGTGTGTGTGTGTGTCTGTGCGTGTGTGTGTGTGTGTGTCTGTGCGTGTGTGTGTGTGTGTGTCTGTGCGTGTGTGTGTGTGTGTGTCTGTGCGTGTGTGTGTGTGTGTGTCTGTGCGTGTGTGTGTGTGTGTGTCTGTGCGTGTGTGTGTGTGTGTGTCTGTGCGTGTGTGTGTGTGTGTGTCTGTGCGTGTGTGTGTGTGTGTGTCTGTGCGTGTGTGTGTGTGTGTGTCTGTGCGTGTGTGTGTGTGTGTGTCTGTGCGTGTGTGTGTGTGTGTGTCTGTGCGTGTGTGTGTGTGTGTGTCTGTGCGTGTGTGTGTGTGTGTGTCTGTGCGTGTGTGTGTGTGTGTGTCTGTGCGTGTGTGTGTGTGTGTGTCTGTGCGTGTGTGTGTGTGTGTGTCTGTGTGTGTGTGTGTGTGTATGAAATAAGGCACAGGAATTCTCTTTAACAGGTTTAAAATTGGATGTGATTTACAATACTTTAACTTTAATTAACATTAATGTAAGTTTGTCATTTGAAAGATAGTTATGTAAGGTTCTTCCTTTCAGAAATATTTAATATTTATTTCAAAATAAACATTATTTTCAGCAGATTTTATTGATGATTTATTAAAATTCATTGCATTTTTTTCTCTGATGATCAAAAACCACAAGTAATGTAACATTTTTTCATAGACGATGTATGACAAATCAAGCTGAAATTTTCGTTAATACTGTTTTTACATAAGATCAGGAAAAGCCATGAAATCTTACACTAATAAATGTTAAGTATTTTTTGAGCTATTAAAAGGGCTGTATGGTCCCCAAACAGAGCATGATGGTTAAGATAAAACAGAAGATGGCTTTTATAATGGTTACTGCCTGCTGTCTTTACTGCCACACACCAGGTGGCGCTAGAGACTAATGAACATTTCTCCATACTGATACTGTAGCTTAAAAACATTTGTTTCTTTACAGATTCGAGGATTCCTGTCAAGATTTGACAACGTTCTTCCTGCAAGTTTGGCGTTTGACAAATGCACCGCATGCTCACCGATAGTAAGTGACAAGTTTACATGCTTTTGATTTGGGATTGAGATAAATGCAACTTTATTAGAAATGTTACGCAATGCCTGAGTTGTGTGTGCATTGTGGATAAAGATTAAAAACAAAAAAACTATTGTAATAATGAAATGGTTTAGAGTTAAACTAAGATAATGAATATGCTTGTGTAAGGAGTCGTGTAATGGTATCTTCAGCATGTTGCCGGTTCTTCTGCAGATAATGAAGTATCTGTAGATGGTGTGTGTGTGTGTGTGTGTGTTAGAGAGGCCATGTGTTGTGAATTAGGCTGCTTGTTGATGTCACAGCTGTATGTGAGTAATTAGGGCTGAATTGAAATGTTTTTTCCCAGCGGTCGCGCTGTTGTCGACGGGTTCACGTCTCATAAATCTGCTCAATCTCTTCTGCATGTGTGTATGTGCTCTCCCAGTGGTCTCTCTCTCATTTAGCAGCTCTGGAGCCACTCCTTCTTCACAAACACACACTCGTACGTGAACACAGTGAGTCTGAAGGCTGACGGTGAGCTGTGGCCGTTCCCTTCCCCCTCTTCTACTCTAGCTTCACTCACTTTCTCTCCCAAGTTCTCTCTCTCTCTCTTTCTATTTTCTTCATGCTGTAAAGACATAAAAGCCTCATAAAATGTCTCAGATCCTTACACTTTGATGCAAGACTGTCAGGGAACTGTGTGAGGTAAATGTCTCGGGGTTCCTGTCCATGTCTTTTAAAGGAATAGTTCACCAAAAATCAAACTTTTCATTATTAAAACATTTTTATGAGGTTAGGAAGTGATAACAGACTTTAAGCTACTGAAAACAAAAAAGAGTTTTAAAAAGAGTTTTTCTAAACGGACCTGCATGAACCGATTCAGTTGATTTTGATGTGATGCTGTTTATATTGTGACTGTTTCTCAAAGCAGCTACACCTTTCAGACTGTTAATGATCAGCATCACAGTCACTGGTGAGCGTTTCTGTTCAGGCGTAATAAAGGTCGTATAAGGCCGCAGGTTCTCTGGAAGTGTATTTCTCTTAGGAAACTCCACAACCAGCAGCACATTCAAAACTTTTGCCCATTGTCTACAAGCATGTGTTTTCGAACACATCCCTCCCGGTAGGTCTTTAGTGAACACTGCACACTGTTTGTTTGTTTGTTTGTTTGTTTTAAGTGTGAAATGTGAATCTGTGAGCTCACAGAAAACTAGGGCTGGACAATAATTCAATATCAATATGTATCGCGATATAATTTTTTTCAATAACGGTGATATGATTTTTAAACACATTTCCGATATTTAGATATACATTACCAGTTTCCCATACATTGATTTATTTGTGCTGTTTGACTTCGTTGAATAAACATGAGCACTGCACGTTTCAAAATCAAAACGTGGCGCGGGTGTTTTATATGAATGAATCTCTGAAGGGAACCGACTGTCTTCAGAAAAGTTTCGATGGCATTTTCATTTGATCTGATAAAGAAGCGTTCATGAGCGGAGCTGCTTTGATTACAGCCATTACTGGAGAAACCACAAAAGATTTCTATTTCAGATAAATAGTGTTCATATCGATATCGGAATTATATCGTATCGACCGAAATTAAGAAATATATCGTGATATCAATTTTGGGCATATCGTCCAGCCCTACAGAAAACACATCCACACAGTCCTACATCCGTAGTGTTGTTACAGTTGGGCCAAAATGATTGGACATTATAGAAAAGTGGTCATGAGGAAAGAGATTATATCCTCAGATAGAGGTCCCTGGCAATAAAAAAAAATCATTAATTTCAATTTTCAAATGTTTTTTTTTTCTTTCTTTTTTTTTTTCCCTGGTTAAAGGAATACTTTAATGAAGATGAAAGGCAAACTATTAAATGTCATGGTTGTATATTTACTGAGTAATCCACTACTTTGTAGAGGGAGGTTCGTGTCAAATCAACCAAATTTCAGAAATTCCCCTGGCTACATTTTTATTTATTTATTTATTTAAATTTTTTATTAATTTAATGTATTTATTTGTTGTTGTTTTAATTTTTTTTATATGTCATGGATGTATATCTACAGTAATCCACTATTTTGTAGAGGGGGTCAAAGTGATTTTGAGATTTGGAGCTATTTTTCCACAGAGATGGTAGCTCTATTAATAAATCTGTGACTTAAGCAATATTTGTTGAATTATATGCCAATGATGACAGTTGGGAAAAAGCGCTTTCCAGTATATATATATATATTTTTTTTTTCAAAGTTTGCATGTTTGCATACAAGAAGTATTAAATATATCTTAGTGTCATATTATATTTTAGTTCTTAAACTTTTCTCTTAGTATCTCCATTTTTTTGGCCCCTGTATGGTTCAGTTTCAGAGATATTAGGATGTCAATGTGGCTCCAAGAGTAAATTGTTAAATTGTACACATTTTCAGTGGTCAAAAACCAAATGTGGGTCACTTCTCACAATATACACCTAGGATGCATCGGGGGTGAGTAAAACGCAGCCTAATTTTCATTTTTGGGTGAACTAACCATTTAGAAAACAAGATACATCTGTAGTTTCAATATTGTTTATTCTTCAGACATTCTTCTTTAATTACAATAAGTATCAGCTGTATAAAAACAAAAGTGTCCAACATTTGGTTTTTGACCACTGAATATGGGTAAAAATTAAACAATTTGGACATGGTGTCTCATTGAGATCCCTATATCTCTGGAACTGAACCATGCAGGGCCTTTAAAATGAAGATACCTAAAGAAAAGTATGTTAAGAATTAAAATCTAAAAGGGCATTTAGGTATTTTGAATACTTCTTGAGTTACAGACATGCAAACTTTGGAGAGAAATACTCAAAAACTGCTTTTTAACAATTTTGAACTGTAACCACTGTTAAATAATCCAACAAAGATTGCTTAAGTCAACAGATTTTACTAATAGAGCTACCAATCTCTGTGGAAAAATGGCCTAAAATCTCAGGTGAGATGGATGGATGATGGATGGATGGATGATTGATGGATGGATGGATGGATGGATGGATGACTGATGGATGGATGGATGGATGGATGGATGGATGATTGATGGATGGATGGAAGCAATATTTGTTGAATTATATGCCAATGATGACAGTTGGGAAAAAGCGCTTTCCAGTATATATATATATATTTTTTTTTTCAAAGTTTGCATGTTTGCATACAAGAAGTATTAAATATATCTTAGTGTCATATTATATTTTAGTTCTTAAACTTTTCTCTTAGTATCTCCATTTTTTTGGCCCCTGTATGGTTCAGTTTCAGAGATATTAGGATGTCAATGTGGCTCCAAGAGTAAATTGTTAAATTGTACACATTTTCAGTGGTCAAAAACCAAATGTGGGTCACTTCTCACAGAGATGATCATTTTTATTTTAAAGAGGAATGTTTAAAGAACAAATAATATTGAAACTAGGAATGTATATTATTTCCCTCCGTCAAAACAAATGCATTAAACATACCTTTCTGAGTGCCAAAAAAGTATATTTTTCTTAAGTGTGCATGCCTGTAACTCAAGAGGTATTAAAGTTATCTTAATATCCTTTTTGTTTGTAATCTTCATTTTTAAGGCCCTTTATGGTTCAAACCCAGAGATATCGAGATCTCAGTGCAGCTCCATATCCAAATGGTTGAATCCTGCCCATTTTCAATGGTCAGAAACCAAATGTGGTTGTGTGTTTATCTAGTTATGACTGTTGACACTGCAAGCATGCAAATAATAACAGTAACCCAGGGTTTAGGAATGTACAGTGTGACACGTCAAGTTATGAATAACCAGGATTAATCGTTAACTCCAGGTAAAGTATGAGCAGTGTGAAACGTAAAATAAGATTAAAGGGTTAGTTCACCCAAAAATAAAAATTAGGCTGCATTTTACTCACCCCCGATGCATCCTAGGTGTATATGACTTTCTTCTTTCAGACAAATCCAGTCAGAGTTATATTAAAAATTGTCTTTGATCTTTCAAGCTCTATCGTTGCAGTCAGCGGGTGTTGCATTGCTTCTGTCCTAAAGACGTGAAATAAAAAGCACCTTTCCATTAAATAAAGTGCCTCACACGGCTCCGGGGGGTGAACAAAGGCCTCCTGTAGCGAATCAATGCGTTTTTGTAAGAAAAATATCCATATTCAAAACGTAATAATCACTTGAATCTAGCTTGCGCTCACTGTTGTAAACGGAAGCAGTTCCGGGGGAATGATGGATGGATGGATGGATGGATGGATGGATGGATGGATGGATGGATGGATGGATGGATGGATGGATGGATGGATGGATGGATGGATGGATGGATGGATGGATGGATGGATGGATGGATGGATGGATGGATGGATGGATGGATGGATGGATGGATGGATGGATGGATGGATGGATGGATGGATGGATGGATGGATGGATGGATGGATGGATGGATGGATGGATGGATGGATGGATGGATGGATGGATGGATGGATGGATGGATGGATGGATGGATGGATGGATGGATGGATGGATGGATGGATGGATGGATGGATGGATGGATGGATGGATGGATGGATGGATGGATGGATGGATGGATGGATGGATGGATGGATGGATGGATGGATGGATGGATGGATGGATGGATGGATGGATGGATGGATGGATGGATGGATGGATGGATGGATGGATGGATGGATGGATGGATGGATGGATGGATGGATGGATGGATGGATGGATGGATGGATGGATGGATGGATGGATGGATGGATGGATGGATGGATGGATGGATGGATAGATAGATAGAGTGGATCTAGTGAATCACTGCATTACTACATTTCTATGAATCTCAAAATGTTGATGATGTTCTTTAAGGAGCAGGAAGTGTTGAATGTGTTCAGTCATGGTGTTGTGTTTTATAGTAACAGTAGCTGAGCTGATATGTGCTCTTCGTCAGGCAGTAATCAGTCGGCGTGCAGAGCTCCAGTTGTGTGTCAGTGATGTTGGCCTCCATCAGCTGTGTGTGTGTG